CGCATATGTCGAGAGGCTGGGAAGCAGCTGCAGACAAGAAGTCATCAGAGTGGGCAGATCAGTGGTCCTCGGGGCTGGGAAAATGTGAGGCACTGCCCGTGATGGCCAGCCTCACAGGAGCCACGGGCATCTGGAAACCACCGTTACTGAAGCACGAGCGGCCCATCCTGACCGCAAGCGGCTACACTAGCTGCCATTCCCACTGACGTGTGGTGAGGACCTCCCTCAAACTGCCCCCGGTCATGCTTCCAGTCTTTTTTTTAAGATTTTATTTATTTATTTGTCAGAGAGAGCACAAGCAGGGGGAGAAGCAGGCTCCCCGCCGAGCAGGGAGCCCGATGCGGGGCTCGATCCCAGGACCCCGGGATCATGACCTGAGTCGAAGGCAGACGCTTAACCAACTGAGCCACCCAGGCATCCCATGACCAGGACTTTTCTTGGCCCTTGGCCCATTCATTTCCATGTGACTCTCCCAGCTGTTGCAATATCCTGGGACACAATCTTGTTTTTTTGTTTTGTTTTTAAGATTTTATTTATTTGAGAGAGAGATCACGAGCAGGGAGAGGGGCAGAGATAGAGGGAGAAGCAGCTCCCCCCTGAGCAAGGAGCCCGATGCAGAGCTCTATCCCAGGATGGTGGGATCATGACCTGAGCTGAAGGCAGATGCTTAACCGACTGAGCCACCCGGGTGCCCCTCCTGGGACACAATCTTAAGACCGAGAGAAGGCAGGTGAGAACCTGAACGCACACAGGTTCAGAAAAAGTAACAAAGTGAGAGCTGCACCTCCCGCCTCCCATTGATGTATGTGTATTTTTGAGGACAGGGTAGCAAATGGATACCCTCAAGAACGTCCTCAAAATAAGCCAGCTATTTGGAGCTGAGAGAAAATGCAGAGTTCGCGTATTGAAACTCACCCTTTTTCCAAGCCCTAGAAGCCCTGGAAATAGCCCAAATCCCCTTGGCCTTTGGCCACAGGACATTCTGAAGGTCTTACTGTTAGGGAGCAAAGAAGGGATTCCTAATTCAAAATTACAGGGGTGATTCCAATGACAGCCTTGGCTTTGGAGCTGAGCTCCTGACTCAGGCTCACAAAAAGTGCAACTTCGAAGTAGCCACGACTGGGGAGGTGACCTGGCAACCTTGGTGGACGTCACTGCATCGCAGACTAAAAAGTACAGAAACTGCGAGTATTCTTCCCCCTCTCCACCAAATGCTCACAATTTTTTTCCCTTTTAGTTTCTCATGCTTTGGCCTTATTTTTAGGTATAGGGAAATAGGTTTTATTTTTAAAGGAGAAAATGGGATTTAAGACTTTAGATGAGAAGATGTTTGAATGAGGACAAAACTTAAGTATTCTCAGAAGAAAAATTCCACTAAAGAACTAGAGTTATTAATGGCTTTTCTTATTCTCAACAACGTTCCTGTTAAGTATCATGTAGAATAGGGCAATCTTGAAAGCATGCACTCTTTCCCATTGCATGAGAGCCAAAGACGTTCTGGGAGGGCAAAGGGACTTGTCTAACCTTTCTTTGCCAACACGAGCACATCTCAGAAATCCTACTTCTCTGAGTGTTATGGTCTTTTCTTTGTGAAAGGTTAGAGCACCATCATTTTTGAACCTCCAATAGCTCCTAATCACAAGACCTCAGTAGGAGGCAGACAAGAATAAATCATTTGCTCTTTTCTTATTCAACTAAGCAAGAAAACTATTACTCTTCATTCATCGTTCTCAATTAACTTCTGGATAAATCATACCAAAAGTATTTAGTTATGGCTTATGATAGGTAAGGCACTGATGATACAGAGATTGGTATAGGAGTGACAAAAATGCAGAAGGTGGGGGCACCTGGGTAGCTCAGTTGGTTAAGCGTCTGCCTTCAGCTCAGGTCATGATCCCAGGGTACTGGGATCAAGCCCCACATCAGGCTCCCTGCTCAGCGGGGAGTTTGCTTCTCCCTCTGCCACTCCCCCTGTTCATATTCTCTTTCTCTCTCTCTAGCTCTCTGTCTCTTAAGTAAATAAATAAAATCTTTTTAAAAATGCAGAAGGTTATTTTATATGTTTCCTGCACCTGAACAGTAGTTTCTGCCAGATTATCTAACAATAATGTTTACATTTACCTGGACTTCACACATAGTATCTAGAAATAGAATTACCAACAGTGGAAATTAGTTTAGAGTTATTTTAATTATGCGTTAAGATGATATGTAATGTTTAGAGACTTCCCCAAATGTAATACATTACTTTGATATTCTGAACAAAATTTTTTTTAGTAACTCCCATGTCAAGCAGGCTTTCATTGATTATTTTTATTTGAATAAAGCAAAACTTGAGGCAAATGGTCTTCTGAGTGACTACTCTTTGCACTTATGTCCTAATATAACACATTTCTGGCAGCAAAGGTCCTAGAACATACTCCCAAAATTCACAGGATGTGAACTGATTTTCTGACAGAAATGAGCACCTCTGTTGCACTCCTACTGGTCATTGGCTTTCTTGGGCACAGGAATCTTGGATTCCATAGTACTTATGGCTTTTTTGAGGACCTCTAAGATTGGGCCCATAGTTTTGACAATTTGCTCCAACTGATCTGCAGCTGACTCGAAGGTATTCTTGACATGTTCAGCTTTTAGCGCATCCTGCAATTTTTTCAAGATGTCTACTATACCAATTTTGGATTGACCTGGACTTTTGTTTTTCTCCGATGTGTTGGCATCTGATTGGTCTTCGGTGTCTTTTCTATAGAGGTCACTTAACTGAAGATTCATGATGGGATATGTCATCAAGAGTGAAAGAGAAGATTCCAAACTGCCAAGGATGTTACTGCTATTCAGGGCAGCGACAATGATTGGTGTCTGAACGTTTTTGAACATTTCTTTAGCTTACTGCTGCCATTCCTTTACATTGGTATTCTTCTCAACCATAGAGCAAACTGCTGTTGCAATCTTGGAACATAAAGGTTCCTTTTGCATCTGGTCATACTTTGCCTCCAGGACAGATTGCATCTCTTTAAAAATTGTGAATATTTTTTCAAAGACATCCTTAACATTATCATGTTCTTTCACAGCCATGGAGTGGATCTGGGTATTCATTGCGCTGTTAAACAATTCAATAAGTGTGTTAGTGAAGACAACAAGATCTTGCATGTGAAAGAAAAACGTTTTGGCAGCTTGCACTAGCCTTTCTTTGTCCTTTTCTGATTCTGAAGACATTTCTCCAACAAAAATGTTTCAGCACTGTAAAACAAAGTAGTAATCCAGATGAAAACTTAAATTCTATTTGTCAACCGTAAAAGACTGACCATATAATCTAAGTGTGGAAAGTAACTCCTGTCAAGGGTAGGAAAGCTACACCAGCTATAAAGTGGGACTTGATCCTGTGCTTTAATAAAAATAACAACAAAAATAAAAGACTAGAATAGGGGTGTTTCAATGAATTTAAGCCACAGAGCGAATATCGTGTACTGGATCCTCAATTGGATATGCTGATACATGGAGTAATATTATTCTCAGGCATCATCCTCAATAATTATCCAATCTAGTGGAGAAGATTGTATAAAACTTAAAAATTACGTAGAAGGGCTCTGGTTCCAGTTAAGATAGAGCAAGCACACTCTGTCCAATCTTTCCTACTGAGTACAACTAAAAATCTTGGACAGAATATATAAAGTAACTATCAGATAACTCTGAAAGGTGGGGAAGAGCAGACCAAAGAGAGTACTGAACTTCAAAGAAGATCAAGACCATCTGATGCCAACACCCAAGATGTCTGTCTTGCCTAAGAATGTTTCTATACTTTCATTACAACTCATCCTCTTCTGCTATAGAGAGGAGTGTTGATGTCTCTAACCAATGTTCACAAGTAGAATTCTGGAGGAGATACAAAAAGACAGGACTGTGAACATTGGCCCAGGGGTCCCAAACTAGGGCATCCACAGGCGAAGTCCAACCAGAAGATGTGTTTTGTTTGACCCAACAACTGCTTATATCAACTGCTAAATTTAAAAAATTGAAAGATAGAAATCCGGATTTCTATTGCTTATTGAAAAAATGAGATTAACTGGCAGCACAAGCCCATGTTATAAGTTAGAAAAAGTGTCTAGAGCTATAGCTGTCCTTTTCAAGCTGGACATTTACCATCTACACCCTACTGTCTGACACTAAGTGTTTCAACTACATATGTCTGGTCCAGCTGCTGTAGGCATTGGAGTTCCTTTTTGGCCATACCCACTAATGTAGTTTATATAAAGTAAGCTTCCTGAAATCCAACCTCTTCATATTATCTCATAATAAAAGTCCTTCAATGATTCAGTATTGCCTAGAGAATAAAATACAATTTCCTGGGTGCCTGGGTGGCTCAGTCATTAAGCGTCTGCCTTCGGCTCAGGTCATGGTCCCAGGGTCCTGGGATCAAGCCCTGCATCGGGGTCCCTGCTCAGCGGGAAGCCTGCTTCTCCCTCTCCCACTTCCCCTGCTTGTGTTCCCTCTCTCACTGTCTCTCTCTCTGTCAAATAAATAAATAGAATCTTTAAAAAAAATACAATTTCCTGGCATGGCATTTAAGGTCATCTACAGATTGCTCTCAATTTTCCACTATTTCTCTTCCCTTCACTGCTTTCACATATGTCCTGGGCCACCAGCATCCTGGATTAAGTTTGTGCCCTGAAAATGCTCTACAACATTTTGTTAGCTCCTTTGTTTATAGTATTCCTTCCACCCGCATTCTCTCCTCCCTACCCCACCCCCTACACATCTACTAAAATCCTACTTATCCATCCATACTTACTTCAGATACACTATCTACACACATCCTTCTTCCGTTTTATCCCCGTGCCCATACATGATAAGCTCCAGGATATGTCAAGTGCAAAATGACCCACTGGGACAAAAGCAAAATAATACCCCACTTAGTCCTCCTTTAAAACTACAGAGCAGCACCTTTTAGATTTGTAGCTGGAGTCTCGGTTCTGTATCCTCTGACCCACCCAATAACAACAGAAATGATTGTTGTTAACGTAAGACGAATGGCTACCACTTAGTTTTTGTCATATATCAGGCACTCTGCCAAATGCTTTACATGCATTATCTCATTTAAACCATATGACAACCCATCAATTACAAACTAACACATCACACCAATGAAAAAAAATTAGATTAAGGGGCTTTCCCAGGGGTACATGGCTAGTAAGCAATACTTTGGGTACACAAAATCAGGACTGTCCAATTCTAAAGGCTGTGGGTTTTCTTTCCATTAAGTTATAGGGGACTGAGTGATTTTCCTGCTTCTGAGGTGTCCCTGCTATAGAGGAATCAGTGGGGATGAGGACAGAATCTAGAGGGAGAAGCACGAAAGACTCCGATCTAAGCTTTAAGGGAAAGAAGTCAAGCTGGACTTTAAGGCTTTCCTATTGTCAAGATATTCACCAACACAATGAGAGACGGTAATAAAGAGCAGAACATTTAGCCAGGAAAGAAGAGCACACACACAAAAACCATATTTGGCTGCACATATCTGGCTTTCTCTCTTGAGAACTGAAACAAAGGCATCAGCAACAGATGGAGGTATGAATGTAACAGAAGCAAAAAGAAACTTAGTATCTGGAATGGCTGACAAGACAGAATCCCAGAATCTGAGCCCTGCAAAGAGCCATCTCCTCTGCTGAACTGAATTAACTCAGTTGTACAGCATTTTTCAACCAGAAAGTCCATTAAAGAACAGAAAATTCAATGTTTCGCCACTTTATTAGCCTTTCAAATTAGATTACTTCATACATACTAATTTTATATTAATATAGGAAATAGAAGAATTCTGAGAACTAGGAATGCAGAAATCGAAATCGTCTATAAACCAGACAGGCAGAGGGACCCAGCAGAGACTAGCAAAGGCTGTAAGTCATCACATTCCATGGAAACATCCAGATGAAACCAGATGAAAAAGCCCTTTAACAATATTCCTAAACAACTGCTGGGACTACTGAACTCAGAAACACAGCAAGGTAAGCGATATGGATATTTCTACTAGTATTGATATGATATTCTGGTTCTCCGGATTAAAGGGTATTTGAAATAACATGTCAGTCTTGAATCCTAGCCATAAATATAATAAAGTCACAAGACAACTTTGTTTTAAGAGGACCCTATGGCAGCTTCCTTGTGATTATTTATTTCTCTGAAGACACCAGATATATTAGAAAATTAACAGCTTATATAACTGATTAAGTCAGAGGGGAAGAGAAAGCTGTAAAGACATCAATTTTAGAAAGGATTAAGGACAAAATGACACCTGTGTATTGTTTACATGGATTGTAACATTTCCTTTTATGTCTCTAACACCAATATAAGCACTCAGGATCTGTGAAAGAAGGAATGTGCAATCTAATACTAGTTAATTTATAGAGCTTCTGCTCCCTCATAAGTTATATTGCATTTAAATGCCGTCTGTCTCCGTTACCTTCTTGAGGGCAAGAAACATTGTCTACTTTTTTTTTTCTTTAATGTCTTAAGGCATAGAAATAGAGGATTCTCACCTGAGCATTTGACAAATGCTGATGAATGTCATTGGTATTCTGCTTTCTGGTCAGAAACATTCTTTAGACGAACTTAAAAAGTGTCATCATACCATCATCAATTCCTTTTTGTTTTTTTTTAATTAAAGGCCAGGGTTTTTATTTAAATTAAAGGCAAAGTCTCAGAACTAGTTAGTAGCCATTATTTTCTCTTGGAAAGTTTCTGGTTTCACCTATCTCCTATTCCAAAACTCCCAAATAAGTGAACTTGTAGGATAGCTGGACCTGATGTGGATAGTGAGGAAAGTGACAGCAGGGAGAAACGCAAAACCTCAGAGAGCACACCTTAGAGGCTGAGACATGTTTTCTTTGTTTCTCTTTCTTTAATTGTTACTATGGGAAAAGTTCAAACATACACAGCAGTGGAGATGATAATATAATAAACTGCCATGTACCCATAACCCAGGGTCAGAAATTTTCAAAACAAGCTTGATCTCATTTCCTCTGTAAACCTACTCCACACTCCCTTCCAGATTATTTGGAAGCCAATCTCAGAGATCATGCGTATCATTTCATCATTAACATACTCACTATGTATTTCTACAAAAGCAAAAACTCTTCCTTTTGAAACTTAACTTTGTGCTTCCCAAATTAACAATAGATATTTAACAGAACCATCTTTGGCTTTGAAACATACACAGTGACTTGCTATCAAAAATTTTTTTTGATGATGGTATAAAAGTTTTTGTAATGCAATTTGTAATACATATCAAAAGTAATAAAAACTTTAATTCCCATGGATTATGCAATTCTTCTGGAAATTTATCCTGAGGAAATAATCCAGATAATTGAAAAGGGGGGGGAAATTGTGTATTAAAATGCCCACTACAATATTGTGATAGGGAAACAATTGAGTATTTATTAAATTATGGTGGATATCTTATGGAATATTTTATATAATAAAATTATTAAAAAACTAAGAATTTGGGAAGGTGTTTAAGTAAATTAATATAAGATGAAAATTGTTCTTACACTCTTATTACAACTTGGTAAAAATACTTACACATTTAAACAAACTTTAGAAAAGAACAACAAAGGGGTGCCTGGGTGGCTCAAATGGTTAAGCATCTGCCTTTGGCTCAGGTCATGATCTCAGGATCCTGGGATTGAGACCCACATCGGGCTCCTTGCTTGGTGGGGAGCCTGCTTCTCCCTCTCCCTTTGCCTGCCATTCCCCCTGCTTGTACTCTCCCTCTCTGGCAAATAAATAAATGAAATCTTTTAAAAAAAAAAAAAAGAACAACCAAAAAAAATTTAAGATGGTAGGTTTATGGGAGTTTTTCCTTCTTTATTTTTAAAGTGTTTATATATTAGTTGTACTGACTTTATACTTCAAAGTACTTTTTTATCTAATCTTTTAATTTCTTCATGTTATAATTCTACCATCTATCAGAACACATATCACATGTCACTTTCTCCATGAAACTTCCTCTAATCGCTCAATATAATTTCCCTCTTTAAATTTCTATAACGCTTGACATTTAGCTGTTATTCACAAAAGTATCCTGAGAGTTTTTTATTTGAATATGTGATAATCCATACATTTTCATTTTGGAAGGTGATTCCTTCCCCCCCCCCCAAAAAACTAAAACAACTGTATAGTATTACTAAATAGATCTTAACTTTCAGAGACAATCACCAATATATTTCTACTATTTCTCATATGCTCTTTAACCTTGACTGTTGACTTCTCATTTCAACAAAATTGACAAGGTTAATTTCAGTGAGAATCCATTTGAGGCTGGCCTTTGTTTCCATTCCAATTTCCGAAAACATGCTGACCACTGGCATCAGCATTTCCAAGTTTCTTTTTTTGTGCAAAATAACAAGTCATGTTACAGATACAATAACAATACGTGTGGTTTCCAAACTTCCTTTTAGCAACAGAGCAACAGAACTCTCTCATCAAATAAACATTTTATGCACCCACAGTCCAAATACAGCAACAAGAGAGCTCTGCTGGTCCACAAAGACTAGGTAGGGTGAAATAAGCATGCCGGAGAGCAAAAGCGCCGCCTGCTGGCCAGCAATTCTCCGTCAGGCTGCCCTAGGGCTCTTCAGAACCTAACTCATGAACCAAGGTAACAAAAAACACTCAAATAACAGTACAAACTCTGCAGTTCAGAAATGGATGGCAACTGTGCAGAGTGAATTTTTCACAGACAGGGAGCACTATCATCTGATAACAAACACTGTAAAAATCACATTTACCACACAAATGGTGCAGGTAGTAAGAACTGGACTAAGAATACCATTTAGCTACCTGAAAGCGCCAATCTTTAAAATTCATTTATAAAATGACTTGGAAATGACTTCTAAGGGACACCTGGCTAGCTCAGTCAGTAGAGCATGGGACTCTTGATCTCATGGTCGTGAGTTCAAGCCCCGTGTTGGGCACGGAGCTTAACTAAAAAGAAAAAATGTTCTTATTTTATTATCTATTTTTAAAGATTTTATTTATTCATTCCAGGGGCGGGGAGCAGAGGGAGAGGGACAAGCAGACTCGGCGCTGTACGCAGAGCACAACGGAGGGCTCGATTTCAGGACCCTGAGATCATGACCTGAGCCAAAACCAAGAGCCAAATGTTCGGCGCCCCAAAAGAAATGATTTTTGAAAGACTGAATTTTTAAGTCAATATTTAAAAGGTCATGCCTGAAAATGTAGTAAAATAGGGAAAAGTAATTTCTTTTCTTAGGTAAATGGCTTTTCTTAGGTAAATACTACATATCTGTTGGTAAGACATCCCTTAAGGCATGCCTAAGTGACAACTCGGATCTTCAAGAAGGATGCCTCCAACTAATTGGAAGGCTTTTGTTTTGCTGAGTGAAGTAAGCACTTTGAGAGTCAGAGCTAAATTGTCATGGGCAATAGTGGAAATGCTGCACGTTGCCAACTGTTTTTCCATGTGTTATATAACCTCTCCTCTAAATATCAAGCATGTATTTAAGAATAATAGTTTGAAAGGGAACAAATTATTAACCTTCCCTAAGTGACTGAATGTTTCCATATGGCCCTAGTAGTAATACATATTAACTTGCGGGTTGTTTAAAATTTGTATTTGCACAAATCAAGCACCAACCCTGTAATTTCAAATGACATAATACTTTCAACTCAACAAGTAGTTTGAAGTCTGTCTTAACTACTTAACCAGATTAAAAATGCCATAAAAGCAGGGACCCTGTCCTTTTCATTTTTGTATGCTCTATAAAGCCCAGCATGCTACTTTATACATAGTAAGGTACTAGTCCACTAAACAGTTACTGAATTATTAAACTGCTTCCTTCACCAGGCTCTTCAAATTTCACCTGCCCAAAAATAATTCATTAGTTTCACCTTGAAACCCTACCTCTCCCCCACACCTAATTCTCTAATGTTTATCTCACTGTTGGGATGAAAATAATTTTGAACTGTATTCAGTACTGGGAAGGTATGGTGGCAGGCCATAAGGAACCCTCCCAAAGCCGTTCCCCAAGACAAAAGGAGCTAGGAAGGTAAGCCCGATTCAGAAAAATACAAGTCCTTTTTCATTAGATTTGAAAAGTAATTCTGAGCACATCATGATGTCTTACTCAAACTTGTTACTGGCACAAAATTATAGATCGATTATCTGGAAACTGGGAAGAAGGGTATAAAAGTGCAGGTGTCAGGGCTTAGGTATATAAAAGAAAGAAAATATAATTGAAAAAGTACTGGGTCTTTGATTTCTGGTAAGATTGAAGTCTTTTCATCAATTAGTTAGCTCCTACTCTTTTACTGTCCAGAGTTGTTTGCTCATTTAGCTATTAGATAACTACTGTTTTTCTAATTGATAACAACAGTCTTTAGAAATTCATACTTCATTTTTCTTGCATTTTTCCCAGTTTCTTTTTAGTGGCTATTTTATCATTTTTTACAAATACTACACTGTTTTTAAATTAATTTTTAACTCCCCAAACTAGCCAATTATGCCAGGAACATTTATAGAACAATAATTTCAACTATTATCGATTTGAGAGTCTACGTTTATTATATATTAAATGTATAGAGGGTCTGTTTTCAGAACTATTTTGTTCCAGGATTCCATCTACTTTTGTACCTGTACAATACTAATATTATTTTTATAATGTTTTCATATTTGGGGAGGATAAAATCCTATCATTACTTTTTCCTGAAAAAATAAGAAATCGTATTTAGTTTTGTTTAATTTTGCTTCAATTCTTGGAAGAAAAAAAAGAGAAAATAGAGTCCTCTATATCTGTGTGAGATCTGGGTACATTTTCTCAAGTAAAGAGGAAGGCTCATCTCTCCATTTGTTTATCATTAGGTAAATAGAACCACATACCTTTTCTGGAAGCTATGCCTTAAGATAACTGCAGATGATAGCTGCTAGAGATATTTTACACTTTCTCAGGCTAAGAAAGACTCCTCTCACCTAAATATCTGAATAGGATTGTAGTTGATGGTCTTCTGAATTCAAACTGGAGTTTTCACTTCATGATAGTATCTGAAAACTAGGAGCCAAGAAAAGAAAAAAGTTGAATGGAAAATTTCTAGTAGAAACAAAGTCCAGATTCATGGTTATCGAAGTGCAGTATGCAACCCAATGGTGAGTTGGGGAATATTTAATAAACCCTCAACAAATTCTTTAAATGAAATTGAGATATTTTCTAAGTACTGTTTTGTGGAAATTTGTGTAACACATGGGTGTGAGTGTGTGTGTATGTGTGTGTGTGTGCGCGCACGCACGCGTGCTGGATCTGAATCAAAGATACAAATGAACTTCTGACCGTGATAAAGTTTATTCTAACAAGGGTACCAAGGCATTTTTCTGAACTGAACAGCATAAATGACGATGTTCCCAATCCGTTTAAAAAAAAAGTTTTCCTGGGCACCTTGGTGCCTCAGTCGGTTAAGCGGCTGCCTTCGGCTCAGGTCATGATCCCGGGGTCCTGGGGTCGAGCCCCACGTCGGGCTCCCTGCTCAGCAGGGAGTCTGCTTTTCCCTCTGCCTCTCCCCCCACTTGTTCTCTCAATCTCACTCTCATGCTCTCTCAAATAAATAAAATCTTTTAAATAAATAAATATTTCCCCTTTCTATTTCCAAATTATATCTTTATGACTTGGAGGATAGGTTATTTTCATGTTTACTTTCTTGAGAGAAAAAGATCTTCATTCCTTCATTCCATGCTCGTGAGGTTCCCCGTATCTAGACTAAGAGCCATGGTCTCAGAACAGATAGGGCCCAAATTCATCAGGATGTTGTTTACTCAAGAGAGAATGTGCCAGCCCCACACAGATTTCATTTTCTCTTTTCTCCCAAGAGTTTAAACTAAAAATAAAAGTACCGAGCACATAGTAAGCCTATTCAAGGTATGCATATTGTAATATTGTTCTTACAGTGCTCAAATTTTTTATCCAAATAAACTCAGAACATACTTGTTCCTTTTTTCTCTGCATAGCACTCTGAGCCATAAGAACAAACACAAGAAGGCTCCTACCTGATTCATTTTATTCATTCTATGATGTACTCTAGCTACTTACTCTCTTTTGTGAAATGGCATTATCTTCTATCTAATGCCCAAGTGCATCTTCACCATGCCCAAGTGCATTATAAACCAGTCTAAATAACTTAACTTCTAAGCTTGGCAAATGGAGACCACAGAGGGCGTCATAACTGCATTGTCTCCTGCACCATGCGCAATCTCTCCCCAAGTGAGATTTTAATCTAAAGGATTTTGAATATATACCCTTAACATGAAAAGTTTTTGTAATGATTCTGTGTGTTGCCTTTGATGTCCCCTAGGCTTAGAGAACAAATAATTTGCCTGTAAAGACATACAGAGTGACTTGAATATTATAAATTAAGATAACAGTATATAAACAAACTTAGCTATTAATAGCTCTGTAAACTCAGAGATCTTAATATTCTTCTGGCCCTAGTAATTTATCTCCAAATATTAGAGAAACCAATCTGGTAGGTTTATTCATTATGGTGAGTAGGGTCTGGGAAAATTAAGGAGTACTGGTAATCAAGAGCTAACCATATCAAACTGCAGTCTCTGTCAAACCTTATTAAATATAACTTGGAAATAATCACATTTATTTATTAATAATCAGATGCTTGATAAACACAGATGTTTCCTATCTAGGATTTCTTTCCACCACAAAAAACCTAGTGCCGTATTTATTGCATCAGTAGGTTGCCTTGTGACCCACATTCCCATACACGGACTCTAAATTTCATAAAAATAATTGTTTTAAAGAACCTGTCGAATTTTCTGAGGAATTCCTTAGATAGCACAGTGCTGTTTTTCTACTCATAAAGTAAAAGATTTCTTGGTCAAATGCACTCAGATAGCAGGTATTTTTCAAAATTTTTAGTGAAGACTTACTATTTTATTTTTCAGAGATTATATTTGAAATATGGCTCAGAGTGACTTCCTCTACCCAGAGAACCCACGGAGAAGGCAGGAAGTAAGCCGTCTTCACCAGCAGCTTCTTGACTGCTTATCTGATAGTTTCCATGCCACTAATACGCTGACTGAGGTCTTAAACATGCACTTGGGGTGCAGGCTGGCCTCCATCGAGATGAAAAGAGATGGGACCATCAAAGAAAACTGTGATATCATCATCCAAGCCATGATGGAAATCCAAAAGGAATTGCAAAAGGTTGATGAAGCACTAAAAGATAAGCTAGAGCCAACCCTTTACAGAAAACTTCAGGATATTAAAGAAAGGGAAACAGAGAAAATCGCAATAGTACAAAAGGTCATTTCAGTCATCCTGGGAGAAGCTACTTCTGCAGCCAGTGCTGTAGCTGTTAAACTTGTGGGCTCAAATGTCACAACTGGCATCATTAGCAAGTTGGTCACTGTGCTAGCTCAAATTGGCGCTTCTCTCCTTGGTAGTATAGGAGTTGCTGTTCTTGGCCTTGGCATAGATATGATCTTCCGTGCCATCCTGGGAGCAGTGGAGAAAACACAGCTTCAAGCAGCCATTAAAAGTTATGAGAAGCATCTGGTGGAATTCAAGTCCGCTTCAGAAAAATATCATCATGCCATTACTGAGGTCACTAACACAGTGAAACACCAAATGAAATGAACAGCCACTGTACCATTGGAATATTTTTCTGTTTTTCTCAATAATAGTGTTTTGCTTCTTTGATTAGGTTCATTTTCCAAGTTTCCAACATGGACAGAAATACAGTTAACAAGTTGGAAAGATGGTTTAAGGGACGCTAAAACCAGAGGACTCCAGAGTTTTGTATCAACAACGAATGCCTACGTCAGTTGGTGCTAGACCCTGCGAGGTTAAAGATTATATCCCAGGATACCTTCTTACTTTGCTCTACCAGATCGACATTAGGTTAAATGCTATTGTGTAAGAGCGGGTGTAGGGGTTACCTCTTCCTTTTCTAATTCACCACTGGCTTCAGACATCATTTATTTCTAAGGGGATGTACTTAGTAACTTCTGCCTAGACACAAACTGTGGACCTTTGAATGAAATAGAAATACTACCATAATTTTGACCTTCAGCTTAAGTCCAATTTTCAATAAAGTAGAAGAGACTGAAATATGAGTTGTAACAATTTACTTCAATGATCAAAGGACGCAATGGTTCTGTAACTTCCACTAATTACACCCTATAAACTCGAATGGATTTTTAAAAGATAAAAGTTAAAACTGAAAAGATAAAGGTTCTGTTTCTATAATTGCAATCAACCCTGACCAACTGTGGTATGATGATTAAATAGCCCTCATGTGAATGTTTGAACACTCTGGAACATTTTAAAAAACAAACATGCAAATCCCAGCTACACGTGCATAAAATGCATTTAGGATGCAGGAGAGGAAACTGTTACTCTTTTAGGAATTTGTTATTTAAAGGAGAGTCAAAATTTATTACCTCATGAGTTTCCAGAAAAATGAAATTTCATTTTCTACACTAGCACAATGGAGGATGCTGTCCTTGCTACATAAAACTTCAGGTGCCCCATTTCATTTATTACCTGATCTCAGAAAAATCCAGAGGCTAAGGAGGCCTAATGGTTCAGTTAACTTCTGCAGACAGAAGTGTTTTCTAAATCCTTCACCAACCAGTAACTCCCCATTGTGACTCTTGGGTTCTACTTACGTAATCATTAAGTTTTGTGTTTGTTATAGTTGATTCTTGCATCTAAGTACAAGAAATGTGTTGAAATTTTAAAAACCTAAGCATATGTCTAAACTTAAAAAGCTAGATGAAAGACTTTTTCAAATGTATTCTTCATTTTTCTCTTGTCACTACTTCTTAAAATTAGTTGCAAAACTAAATTAGCTCACCTCCAAAATTAAATTCTATTACTTAACTTACAAGTTCTAAACTACAAGACCTTGTTATTGCTTTTTCTGGGACTCAAAATTCGGCCTAAAACCAAATCATTTTCGAAGACTTCTACCTTAGTTTAGGTAAAGAACCCATCTTAAATGGTTAAGTGCACATTTAAATATTCTGCTGTTAAAAATTAATGTGTATCTCTTTCAATATTTTGGAATATTTATAATTAACAGTAAGAACTGACCTATACCTAACGTATATTCCAATAAGGAATATTTAGATCAGAAATGACCAAGGGTATCTCTTAAAAATAAAATGTTTAAATATTTAAACTTACCTTTAAGGGGAAAAGATAGGGTAAGAGTCTTAGACAAAGAGTGGACAGAAGAGAAGGGAAGGACGAAGACTAGACCTAAGTGATAATCCGTATATACGTATAGTGACATCATAAAGGACTTCTAGCTGGTCAAAAGACCACCAGGGAAGAGCAGCCAATATAAAGCAACCTCGCCAATCGTAAATTTAAAACTGCACATGTATCCCCATATTTCCTCCTCAAAAAACTCATTGTAGATTACTTTATCCGTAGATGAACAATCTGGGACTCTAACACGGGCACTGATTTATTTGCTCAGGTCTACGTATGTTCTGTGTGCCTATAAACTTCCCAGACGGACATGACGCCAGGAAAGCGCAACAAACGGAGTAGCAAATGTTATTCAGGGATCCATTTTTAAAACAGACACTATCAAAAGAGATCGCACTCGCTTACATCATGAAAAAACAAAATCCAAAAACTAATACAATTCCACCCTACAGAGACAGCAAAACAGATCCCTAGCTGGAATCGGCAGTCTCATGCAGCCCAATAAACGCAGCTTCCGGAAATTAAGTCAAACTGTCTCGGTCCGAGAGGCAAAGTCGTCTTCTCATCAGCCAATCACCTATCCGACCCGCTTCGTTTTTCTTTTTATTTCTATTGGTCTAAAGAAGTGTCAATTGACGTGTTTCTGCGTGGTGGGGGCGGGACCTTAGCAGAGAATCAGCCAATTCGGTATTGATTTGGAGCGGAAGAGACTCTGGTCCTGGAGTTCTTGGTTACTCTCTATGGTGCCAGGGCGAAGAAACGCTAAGATCTTGGGCCCTTAGGGATAGGAAGTGACGTAAGGATGGCGGAGGGGCGCGAGCTTTCAAGATGGCGGTGGCTGGGTGGCTGACCGGCATACAGAGGTGAAGGCCCCTACGAGATAAAAGACGCCGAGAATCGTCCCCTCCCCGCTTCTCGCAGTGCCAGGAGTCCAGCAGAAGTGTGAGTGTGCAGGATTGTTTCACTCCGTTTCTTCATCTTTTCCCGCCTTGCCCCGGGTCCGCGCGGTTGCCTCGGGGACGCCAGGCCCCTCTGCCCGGTTCTTCCTCTTCGCGGTTTGGGTCTCCCGGGTCACGGACCGGGGGATCGTGGAGCCAGGGGCGGTGCGGCTTCCAGCAGTTAGGCAGCTGTTCATCCGAGTCGGTTCGCGCCGCCTCCTGCCTTTGCTCGTTGACCGGTTGCTTTAGATTTGACGTCTTCTCGTACCTCGACTCAGGGTCAACCGTCGCTATGGTTTCGGCAGTTGCTGCTGCTGTTATTTCTCTTGGTGGACCTGGGCTCCGTCCCACTGCAGCCTCTTCGGTTCTGTGGCCCGATTTCCCTGTAGTTTCTGCTTTTAGACAAAAAGTAGTTTTGTGCACGCTAAGGTTCCATTGTCTTCTGTAGACATTCTCTGTAAATCCTATCTGTTCTTTGTTTCACTTGTGGGAGAAGAGGGTCAAAACAGGAGCCCGAGGGTAATTGAGAGAGGACAGCAAAAAAGATAAACAGGCCATCAAGGACAGGAGAGCCTATTTATACTAATTTTGTTTATTTCGGCCTCCCTTCTCCCCCACTCCCAGTTTTTCTGAGAAGGAAACCCTGCACAGGGTAAATTAGTTGCCACTGGAACAGCTCTGAAGCATTTAGCAGAAATCAAGGCATTAACTAATGAACTTTTCTGACAAAAATCTTCAAGGAAGAAGGGAAGGTATAATTAATTGTATGGGCTACTGAAAAATTTACCTCATGATCTTCCCTTTCACACCCTTCAAAAGTCTACTTCCAAAAGGAAGTACATTTGTCAATTTTATTATTGGGAAGAATAAATATTAAAAAGTTAAATGACTGGAATAAGAGAAAGAAATAATATAGTAGTGTCTTAGGTTAATAAAAATTTTGACTTGCAAAACATTTTCTCTCAAATACAGTCATCCCTTTCAGTTACCATAAAAAATAGAAATCAGGAGTCAAGTAGGTACTGGTAGAAAAATGTGTGTCTTGACGTTTTTGGACACTCCTGCATGTAATACTTTCATTTTTAATATATGCACTTTCAGTTATGTCTTAAGCTCTTCAGAGTCAAGAATTATATGTGAATTAGAACTAAATTTGAATTAAACAGGCTTAAATTAATGAGTTTTTACTATCTTACAGATGTTGAGAATACATGTGAAGAAAACCATGGAGAGAGTCAAGGGTGATATTTGTTGTTGAACCCATATAATTACCCCCATTCCCTTTTTATTCCTCTTTTCACCCTACATGTAAACAAAGGGAGGGTGTAGAAAAAGGACTAATGGCAGGGCGCCTGGATGGCTCAGTCGTTAGGCGTCTGCCTTCTGCTCAGGTCGTGGTCCCGGGATCCTGGGATCGAGTCCCACATCGGGCTCCCTGCTCAGCAGGAAGCCTGCTTCTCCCTCTCCCACTCCCCCTGCTTGTGTTCCTGCTCTCACTCTCTCTCTCTGTGCCAAATAAATAAATAAAATTGAAAAAAAGAAAAAAAGGACTAATGGCTTTTCATATTCATGGTTTATCCCATATTGTTGAAGCATTTTCTGATGGATTCTTTTTTTTTCAATTTCAGAGTCAGTCCGTGATCCATTTAAAAAAGTTAATAAATGGAATGTTACTTTTAAAGAGATTGGTAGAAAGAAATTTCATAATATGAAAAGGAAGAAATTATGTAAATAAATCAGAAGAATAAGCTATTTCTTTGTCTTTGCAGGTTTTTTTGTTTTAATGAACTAGTAAATCATACAAATTGTCAACATGGGACGGAGATCTACATCATCCACCAAGAGTGGAAAATTTATGAACCCCACAGACCAAGCCCGTAAGTGCCCATTAGTGTGGAGTGATAAAAATTCCAAACACCAGAGAATCTATTATGTCTTAATTACAAAATCAGCATTGCTAGGAGTCAGTTGTATAAAGTTATCCACTGTTGTGGGCACATGATGAAAACTTTGAACATGCAAAAAAAATACCGATATTTTTAATTTGATTGACTGCAGAGTAGAATTGGCTTGAAACTTACTGTATTTGTAATTTTGGACAGATTAGTTTTGAGAAGCTTAAAACAAAAGTTTCTCAAGATTTTGGTTGGCATAATTAAAGGTTGCTATTGGCATCTGGTGGGTAGAGGCCATAGATGCTGCTGAATACTCTGCAATGCACAGGACAGCCTCCCACATTAATTTTTGTCTGTATTAAAATGGAGAAAATGCTAGCGTTCAAGATTTGAAAGTTTTATATTTTCTCTGTCTCTCTCTTAAAGGAAAAGAAGCCCGGAAGAGAGAATTAAAGAAGGTAGGACTTGAGAAGCATCCTGTTAGCCACAAGTGATGTTTGGTACATCTTATTATATGGGATTAGTGGATTTCAAAACAATATTTACAGTTATTTGTCAGAAAAGATACTTTATGCTTCTTATAACAATAAAATTTATTAAGTCAAAATGCTGTACTTGGAAACTGAACTGAAATAACTTTGCAGATAAGCTCATGATGGTTATCGTAATATATATTTGATTATCTTTCCCACTGAGTTAAATAAATATCTTTGAAAGGATTTTTTTTTTTTTGCTATTAAAGCATACTGCTTTGTTAAAAGGTACCAAATTAGTGAATGGAAATAAATGTGATTCTGAATAGCTTTGCGGGTTCATTTTCCTCATTATGTAGCTGTTGAGTTTGTGGCAAAGTGTTCTCCCAGAATAAGACCGTATTTACTTTTTAGTATTCTTTAACACACTGAAAGAATGCAGATTTTTAATGGTTTTTTAACTGGGTTTTCCTGTTTCATTGTTTAGCATCAAATCCTGCAAAACTTTTCTTTAATATATAATTTTACAATTTAGCCTAAAAAAAAAAATTTAAGTAATTGCTAAAGATACCACAAAATTAAAAGCAATATTTGCCTAAGAAAGTACACATACTAAATAGTGTTTATCTTTTTGTCTAAAGTTGAAACATTTTTTGAGAGCCAAAAATTACATAGCTTTGGTTATGGTAGTTGAAACAAGTGATCAGAAACCAAAGAGAAGTTCAACTTCAGTATAATTGATTCTTGATGCAAATTGAAGTAAGAACTCAAGTATGTCCAGTTTTTTGACATAGTGCTCCTTTTTTTCTAAGAACAAAAAACAGCGCATGATGGTACGAGCTGCAGTTTTGAAGATGAAGGATCCCAAACAGATTATCCGGGACATGGAGAAATTGGATGAAATGGGTAAGAATTTATTTTAAAAGGCTAGATATTAGAGCAGGGCTAACAGTCTGATACACAGAGGCAGGCAGGCAGGTAATGAAAAAGCAGCACTGGCATAAGAAAAACAGAAAAGCATGATGACATTTGACCCTGGGTTTAGTTTTAGTGTCAGAAAGACAAAATGGAGTGGTGGGAGGCGATTGCGCACTGGGGATCTCCTCTAGAGTTAGATGAATGCCGTTATGTAGCTTGAACTAGTTATTGAGAGAAGACTGAAATCTGGAGTTTTTGTTCTGTTTTTTTAATCTTGGCAACTACCATGTAAATCTAAGTATTAGGCTACCATGAATTTATCAGTTCCCCATTTTTTCCAATGAGAACATCAAAGACACTTGACCCACTAAGTAAGGTGGTAGAAGAAATCATGAAATACTTAAAATCTAATTTTATAGAATATCCTATATATCATATTGGGATTTCTCCCTTTTTTCACACTTCTCTAAATAATTTTACTCCTTTTTTTCATATGCATCTTCAGTATCACTGCTTTTGTCATAACTGGAATCACACAAGATAACTGCATGTTATCTTTCTTTGCATCTAAGTTGCTTGAGAATTGTCTGTGTGATGCTGCCATTGGAAGTTTTATTGCAACCCACAAATTAAAAACCCATTTTTAATCTTAGAACATGGAATTTTTTATTTTTCTGCCCTTTTTTTTTTTTTCTTTCCATAATGAAATGATCTTGGCAAGTTTTGTTTTCAAAAGGTACTCAGCTTAAGTGGTTTGCCAAAAATCAGATAGTAAGTGAAAGAGGTACAGTGGATCTCAATGATAGATTAAATGGGTTAAAAAAAAATCCAGTTGTGTGGGGTTATAGCTCTCTTAAATAAGGTAGCACAGCTTATGCATTTAGCCTGGGCAAGAGTTCTGGGTCAGATTGCATGATCCCAAATCTTTCCCAGTTCAGCTCTAACTGATCCCATTTGTTGCCTCTGGTTTAAATATTACTATGGGCACTTGATATCCCTGGGGTATCAAGACATTAAATGACCTAGTAAATGACTTCAGATTGATTCATACGGTTTAAGGAGATGATAGTAGTAATGGGGTTTTATTGAGCTCTTGTCTTACAATGCACCAATTTTTTTTCCACATGTTACAACAACTTTTAGGTAGGTGTATTACCCCTATTTTATGGGTAGGGAAGCTCAGGCACAGAGAGATTATATACTTTCCTCAAGGTCATGCTGTTAGGATATGGCAAGCTGGGATTAAAACTCAGGCATTCGGTATTTTTATTAATCACACTAAGAATAGTGTGTGATGTCAGACTACCTTCTGAATAAATCACAAGGCTAAAAGGAATTAGGAAAGAAGATAATTAAACTTGTTATCCGTTAAAAGAAAAAAAAAAAAAGGGAGAAGGGAACACTGTTCATCAGAGCTCTAATTATAATTTATAACCTTACACAGTTTATAAAATTCACAAACTAGTTTAGGCAGAAAAACATACATACATTGACTTCTATAATTTAGAAATCCCAAAGGGACGCTCTCCTAGAAAACATAGGTATCATTATTAAGACTGTTCATCTGTCTGGTCTACTGTCTTGTTAGCCTCATTCAGCACATTGCTGATGAACCTCTTGGGATTGGAAGTGGAAAATGGGTGTGGAATTAGGGGGAAACAAGGTCACAGCTTTAGGTTTATTTTCTTCCTCCTGTAAGAGCTTCACTCTCTTACATCGACATGTAAAGTCTCAGAGAAGGATCTGGTTTCAATTTGGATCATGTGCCAGTTGATCTCTGAGTCAGTCACTGGTGAGGGGAACGGAGGGAGGCAGGCATAATTGACCAGGCAAGTTTGGTCTTGTGCTAATAATCCCTTTTGGGGCAAAAGACCTGAAATTAAGCCCCATGTTAAATACGTGGAAAGAGAAAGGATTGTATGGTAGACAAAGAACACCAGTCTGTTATAAAAATAATTAAGTGGTGAGCTAGACGCCACTAGATATCTTATTTGTGATAACATTTAGTCCTCAGAGCTTTGTTGTGAAGTACTTGATGTCCGCATTTTCCAGATTAAGAAGCTAAAGATCAGAGAAGGCAAGTGCCTAAGATCTCAGAATTAAATGACACAGGTGTCTGACTGAAGCCTCACGATAACAAGTTGTTAGCATAAAGGAGTGAAGATTGATTTTTATTACAATGATAATGAAGATTAATTAGGTGACATTAGACTTTCTTAAGAAAGTAAAATTAATGGTTTATCTTAAAAGGGTGGAGTTTCGATAAATATCTATTGCGCTTCTTTTTAATAAAATTTAAAAGAGTATACCTGGTCTAAAGCCCTTTTAAAAGTTTTAGCATATAAGGAGATTTTATTAAATGATAGAGCTGATACCTAAATGAAGTGACTTTTTGTGTTGAATTTCAGTATCTGCTCTTTTCTCTCAGAGTTTAACCCAGTGCAGCAACCACAGTTAAATGAGAAGGTGCTGAAAGACAAGCGTAAAAAGCTGCGTGAAACTTTTGAACGTATCCTGCGACTCTATGAGAAAGAGAATCCAGATATATACAAAGAACTGAGAAAACTAGAAGTAGAATATGAACAGAAGAGGGCTCAACTAAGCCAATATTTTGATGCGGTCAAGGTAATCAAGTTTGTTTAGAGAGAGAAACTAAAATGTTATATTTAGATTTGCTCTTAAAATTGTTAATGGGAGAACTGGTCATGATGAACTTCTTCCTCTTGGCAATTTCTTGTCAGACTAAACCTATCCCTACCCCATGAGCCAGCAAATCTAATTCTGCATATTTATACAAGAGAAATTAATTCATTTGCCAACACAGTAATAGCCAAAAACTGGAAATAGCCCAGATGTCCATCAATAGGATAATGGATAAACAAACTAGTATATTTGTAAAATTGAATGTACTCAGCAATGAAAAGGAATGCTCTACTGATACTCAAAATAACATGGGATTAAGAAAAAAAAAATTTTTTTTTTTTAAGATTTTATTTATTTATTTGACAGAGACATAGCGAGAGAGGGAACACAAGCAGGGTGAGTGGGAGAGGGAGAAGCAGGCTTCCCGCTGAGCAGGGAGCCTGATGCGGGGCTTGATCCCAGGACCCTGGGCTCATGACCTGAGCCAAAGGCAGACGCTTAACAACTGAGCCACCCAGGCGCCCCAAGAAAAAAAATTTTAACAGATAAATCTCAAAGCATGTTGAATTTCTTTCATAGTTAGGATTCCATTTGTATGAAATTCTAGAACAGGCAAAACTAATCTATAGATGAAAGCATTTGTAAAAGTGTTTGCTTTGGGATAGTGTTAGGGATTGATTGAGAATGTGAACTATATGCATTTGTCAGAACTCAGAATTTATACATTTCATTGTGAATTTTGTCCAGAAATGTAAAAAAAAAAAAAATTGTATCGTTTTTGCAGAGTAGGTAGTATAGGTCCCATTTTACAGATAAGGAAACTAAGGAACTTGCTTAGTCATGCAGCTAGTATGTGGCAGAAATTCAGCAAAGACTAATTTTAGAAACCCAGGCTCTACCACTGGATATATACTATTTCTAAGTTAATTGATAAGTGCTATTTATCATCCAGAATATTTAATAGGGTGGCTTTGGTGCTGGATAGTTTTAACAGTTGGATTTCTATAAACAGCAATTTCAGACCGTAACCCAAAAGGATAAGTTAATAATGGGAGAAAAACAGCTGAGTTTTGTTTCTTTTACAGGCGATATTTTTTCCATTCACTGGCAGACTTTGGAAATGTTGACAAATACCGATATTCTTGTTTTTTCCTGATACTTAGGTGGAAAGCAAATCCAGGTTATGAAACCACAGAAACTGAATTTTTAGTGTTGAGTTTGTGGATTGCTCTGATACTATTGAAGGACTTTTTCTGTTTCAGAATGCTCAGCACGTGGAAGTGGAGAGTATTCCCTTGCCGGATATGCCACATGCTCCTTCCAATATCTTGATCCAGGACATTCCACTTCCTGGTGCCCAGCCACCCTCCATCCTTAAAAAAACCTCAGCCTATGGGTAAGGAAGTGGTAGCCTAACTAAATGACATTTATTAAAAGTACCTTTTAACTGTCCAGTGCCAAAATTATTGCAGTGGGAATTAAAAGGCAATGTGAACATAAGTGGTGCCTCACCTGATGAAATGTGAAATAAGAAATCCCTTGAAAATATTTTAGAAGAGGAGCTAGATACCTCATTACTGTGAATGTGATTACTGTGGAATTTTCTTTCAGACCTCCAACACGGGCAGTTTCTATACTTCCTCTTCTTGGACATGGTGTGCCACGTTTGCCCCCTGGCAGAAAACCTCCTGGTCCTCCCCCCGGTCCACCACCTCCTCAAGTCTTGCAAATGTATGGCCGTAAAGTGGGCTTTGCCCTAGATCTTCCCCCTCGTAGGCGGGATGAAGACATGTTATATAGCCCGGAGCTTGGTAAGGAGTGACTGTTCCTTTTGCTCTTGTGACCTTTCTGCTGTCCTTTTTTTTGTTGGCCCTGTTTAACATCTGGTTCACCGTCCTCAGAACTTGGGAAATAAATGAGGATTACATGTACATACTAACAAGATGGATAAATCATAGAACTTACCCAAGTAAAAGCAGCATACGTAAGGAAGTACAGAAATGTTTACTGTGTTTTAAACTAGGCTTTTTTTTTTTTTAGAAAAGGTTTTAAAACTATTACCAAATGGAAATATTGTCAGACTATTGAAGAACCATATCATATACAGAATCATTTTACATAATGAAGTTTAGATTCTAAGTTAGATAGCACAATTTTCTGTGCTTTGGTATACCATGTAGCGCAGGGCCCAGTCATAATACTTGTTTTTCAGCTCAGCGGGGTCATGATGATGATGTTTCCAGCACCAGTGAAGATGACGGGTATCCTGAGGACATGGATCAAGATAAGCATGATGACAGTAGTGA